ATCTCGCATGCAAGTGCTTCCTGTGAAATTTGCTTGACCTACAGACCAAGACAAAAATTTGAGCCACTAATTCCATATCAGAGACAGTATAATGAACTTACATGTGAACTTACCTCTCACTCAAATCAAATGAAAAGTTTTAACAAGAAACACAAATAAAAACGGAACAGACTATGGTAGAGGATTAATTGTCTGTCTAGTGTGAAATCAGGAAATTCTGCACATGAACATTAAACCACTGAAAGAAAAATTGAAACTGATGAATCTTAAACTGTATTGAATCATTCACTTTCTGCTGCTGTACCAGTTATAAACAAGGTTATTTAAAAAAAAAAAAAAGGTAAAAAATTCAGTTCATAATAAACGTGCTATCATATGAAACATTTAAACATTAAACGCGTTTTATTATTTTATAAGAGTTAGGAAGAGTCATTGATCTTTCAGCTTTTAGTTTGCACAGTTTTTTTTATTTGCGCACAGTAAATACGGTCAATCAGAAATCAGAGCACAGTTAAACGATTTAAAGGAACATGCTAACACAAAAAAACACAAATTGCACTGTGCTCCAAGTGTTAAAGCTTTTACTGTGTCAGCGGGAGCAGCAGGGCAGTGTCTGATCAAGGATGACCAAAAGCGGCGTGAAATTAGAATCGCTGCCTACATTGCTTGTCACACTTCAATAAATGCGGTGGACGATTTGTCAGACATTTTGAAAAACGAGATGGGAACATTCCAAATGCACCGGCCGTTATCAAATCTGTCCTCGCGCCACACTTCAGAGAAGAACTTGTGGAGGATGTCGGTGAGTCTCCATATTCCCTGTATCTCGATGAAAGCACTGACATATCCGTGAACAAACTTCTCTGTATTTGTGTGAAATACCACTCAAAAAAACACAACAAGTTTGTAAGTACATATCTTGGACTTGTGGAGCTGACAGATGCTGATGCTATCAGACACTGTTGTTGTCTTTATATCCCAGAACGGCCTGCAGATCAAAAACATGATGGGCATTGCCACAGATGGTACCAGCGTAATGGTTGGAAAACACCATTCCGTATTCACCTTACTTAAACAAATGCAGCCAAACCTACAGCTTATTCGTTGTGTTTGCCATTCACTTGACATTGTTGCAAATAAAGCAATGCAGCTTCTTCTGAGCAACATAGAATACATGGCTAGAGAAACCTACAACTGGTTTGCTCATTCAGCAAAGCGGCAGTATGACTACAAGAATATATACGAGACTATTAATAACGGGGGCTGCCCTCTGAAATTAATAAGTCCAAGTCCAAGCTGTACCCGTTGGCTTGTGATGGCTGACTGCATTGCCCGTATTGTGGATCAAAAAGATGCCCTCACACTGCACTTTAACATGGCTTCAAGTTCAGAGCAGTTATACTGCTCGGCTTTTAAAGGAGATGTACAATGACAAAACTAATCTCCTTTACATGTACTTTCTTCAGCCTGTTCTGATGGAAATCAAAGCTGTGAATAAATGCTTTCAGTTGGAAACCGGAAACACCCTCGGTGTGTTTAGAGACTTGGAAAGACTATACATGACAACTGCTAGACGCGTTCTCAAACCAAGTGTCTTACGCATGAGTAATGACAAGCAGCTCCAGGAACTTGACCTCACACAGTCTGGCATATTCCTCTCCCCTCTGGATGCGGACCTGGGTACCACATTTATGGACCAACTGGAGGAAAGCAGGTTAGCCCCCGACATGAAGGAGAGAATTGCATTGCGCTGTATGGATTTTCTGAAAGAACTTGTAAAGCAGTACCAATTGTGCTTACCTGCTTCAATGGAAATGTTGCGCAAACTGAAGCTCCTGTGCCCAAAATCCGTTATGCCCACTTTAAATAGGCCTGGAGTAAAGGACTTGCCAGCTTATCTTTTCTCATGCCCGACTGATACATTAGAATCGCAATGGAGGAATGTGGCATCAGCAGGCTTCTCTGATGATCAGGACATTGACAAGTTTTGGCTGGAAGTCGAAGCATTTAAAGATGCAGGAGGACACAAGTGTTTCTAGGAATTAGCGCAAGGTGCCATAAGACTTCTTGTTCTGCCTGTTTCCAATGCCCATGTCGAGCGAGCATTTTCCTTGGTCTCGCTTTTGAAAGATGACACTAGAAATCGCATGGGACTACCGCTACTCTCCAGCATCATGGACGTGCGTACTGGCCTGGCAAACTTTCAAACCTCCCCGGCAGTTGCTGGAGAGATTTGACTCAACGATGTATTAATCACTCTGGTTCTGACTGTACAAAGTTTGTTCTATAACATTTCAAGAGACGTTCTCATCAGTTCTGCGAAGATTCTCTGCATTAAGTCCCTATAAAAAGGTAAGCGTGTTTATACGCTATTATTCTGCTATAAAATTCTGATGTCATGTTTGATAATTAAACAAAACGTATACAGGTAGCTAACGTGTGTGTCTAAATAGTGCCCTTTGCACGAACCCATTTGTTTTGGGTTTTCGTTTTTTTCTATTGTATTAGTTATCACAGTATGCATTTTGGGCTGGCATTTTTTTAAATGGGCGGGTTTTAAGCTGTAGTTGGGCTGGAAATCTTCAGTCCAATCTGGCAACACTGCCTGAGTGAGCTGTCATCAGTCCGCCATTGTTTCACCGCCGGAGCAGATGTAGACAAGAATGACTCCTAAGCGATTGAGGTGTTCTGTTGTTGGATGTAATAATGAACATAGGAGTCGTCATTTACTCCCGACATCTGAGCCACTGAAGACGCAGTGGATTACGTTTGTTTCTGAAGGGAATGCGCCCCCGATCTACATAAATGCTTCTATGTTCGCGCGAATCATTCATGATCCAGCTTCACCGACAGAAGAAGTGAGTATAAGGTTTTTTAATGAATCTTTGCAAATCACCTTTCCTAATAATGTGCTAATTAGCAAGTTTCACAATGAATAACAGCTAAAGTAAACAGTCTCTCTGAGAGCAGCTTGGAAGAGAGGGGCGGGGTCAGCAGAGCTCATTAACATTTAAAGTAAAATGCTACAAAACGGCTTGCTCTGAAAAGCGCTGTTTTTGACAGGGTAAAAAAAAATTGTTTTTACACTACCATTGACCCCAAAGAATCATATCAACTTGTGGAAAATGGGCATCCGATGACCCCTTTAACTAGAACATCCTACTTTGACTAAGCAGGGAGCCGTCAAGACCAAAGGTGCTGAACCAAGTATAAAACTTCTGCAGTATCTCAAAGCCCAAAATAGCAGCCAAACAAGACATTTAATGTTAAGAACATTAAAAAAAGGTAAATGATAATGATGAACTACACAGCCAGCGCAGGCCAGTGGGGGACAAACGGAGTGAGTATAGAGCATGCTGCTTGTTCACACATACATTTATGCAGGACTATTTTAAATAAACTGAACAAAAGTGCAACTTATTGTATGGAAAGCATTAGCGTTGACATTTTAATGATCGCCTTTTGTGTTCAACAATGGAAGAAAAAAATCCTGTGCATTTGGAGCGACATGAGGGTGGATTAAAAAAATGCTAAGCAACTGTAACTTGCTTAGACTAAAATGTAGAGACGTGCTTTTTTTATCTTGGAACTTAATAATCAAAGATAAAAAAATTATTTGGGAAGTCACATTCAAATCCACTTGGCTCAAAAAGCCCCATGACACTTCTGGCTGCACCCACAAGATTAAACCAGATTAAACTGCGACAGAGCACCAGGATGAAATGGCAGGGCCGCGAGTGATAGCGAGCTCCGTTTGACTGGCAGAATCTGGGGTTATGAGTCTGACGATACACAGGGAACGCAGCTGGAGGGAACCAGAGAGAGAGACATGATAGGATCATGGAAAACGAGCGCACGAGGGCATGGGAGAGAGAGATAAGGCGAGAGCAGCAAAAAAGAGAAGAGGAGCTCTCATATTGCCGTGCTTCTGCTGCTGGCGTATAGGATGCACTCCAGTGTAATCGTCACTGAAGGGTTACTATTTCAGCAGCAGCCGCACACTGGCTGCTTTCACTGTGCCAATACAGCAAATTAAATAACACTTTACTAAGAGGGCTAGAGAGAGAGGGACACAGAGCTAGATTGCATGAGGGAGGAAAGGAAGAGAGAAGTGCTGATGGGACGGTGATGAAGTCTGGATTTAGGATAATTACTCTGCTGAGCTCTTCCTCCCTCTCTCTCTTGCGCTCCCTTTTTTCTCCTCCGCTCTCATTATTTGGAGAAGCTCGCCTGATGACAGTATCTGAGCCGCCTGTCGCTTATTAAAAAACGAAAATTGCTTCAGATGAGTTTATTAAACATCTCTCCCTCTCTCTCTTTTTCATCTGCCTCCCTCACACTCTCCTTTCTTTCACAGATATAGCAGCATGTTGAGATGAAAGAAGACTCATCTTTTTTTGGAAAGCACTATGAGAGATTCTCAAATCGTACGATACGAGTGGGGAAAAAATAAATGGTCGCGCAACAATTAGGAGTTCTTCTCGAAGAATTTGACAAAATCAATCGGCATCAATATTTCAAAATGTTTCATCTGCTCTAAATCCATTTGCTGACATTATACTATTAACTAGAAGGCTTACGGTGTAATTAATGAAAGTTGCATTAAGAGCGGCCCCAGCCATTAGTTCAGAGAGGGGAGTTGACTTTAATGAGGGTCTTTTATCATACTGGAAGACAGAAAGTACATTGAAGAAGTACAAATAGTGCACTTTCATTAGAGGTTAAGTGTTACAACCATTGACATACTCTTTTGCTTCCTTTGATTGCCTTAATTCAATTTTTATTCAACTCTATAAACAATATTCACGTAGGATATCTTCTATAATTTCAATGCTAATGCAGTGCAAATCATATAATTGCAGGAAATTGTTTCTGGAAGGAGAAACAACGAGAGTAAGCAATAAACAGATTTGAAAGACACCAAACTTGAGATATAACTTTAAAAAAAAAAAGATATTTGTTATAAAGCAGCATTTTTGTGTATGATTCTATGCAGCTGAGTAAATGTTTAATTTTTGGGTGAACTACCACTTGTAAGCCCACATTGTTATTAATATTAACACAAATCCAATAGCAATATGACTCCCAACAGGAAGCTGATAGCAATCATTGAATTCCATGTAGCACTGGTTTAGTGATATGAATAAATCAGGTGGTGTCAGGCAGCTGTTGATGTTTGTAGGGGCTGCATCAGGTAAAAGCGAGACAGTGATGTGACGGAAAAGCAGTTTGTGTGGCGTTTCCACAGCAACTATGCCATCCTCTCATAATTTGCTCTTTGGCGGTGAACCTGGAGGTGAAAAACAGGTCTAATGGAGCACACGCACATACAGTAACAGACATTTACATGAACACTAATGTTTGGAGTTCAGCCACTGTGTGAGATCTCAATAACATTATGTCATAACTGTGATTATTAGAGCAAGGATCGTTCATGAAACATGTTACATTTAAAAAAAAAAAAAAAAGGTGCAAATATTAGCACCAGTCAATATGTTTGGGAGTGTTTAATATTTAGTCATACGAAATTCTAAATTAGTCAGTGTGCTGCTTTTTAATTAATTTATTTTAGCAAGGTAAACACTGCTTCCATTAAAAACGCTAATGTAGTCAGTGTTGGTTTGTTATTAGCGCTAACTACAAGCGTACAGCTATCACATAAGAATAGCTTTAAATTGCACAAGTTTGTACTCTGTGTCCCAGAACACAGAAAAAAAACAACACAAATACATTGACGTCAGTCAGGACTACCAATTACTTGTCCTCTCACTGCGGGAGGAATAAGATGGAAGACTTTGAGGTGAAAAATACTCAAAATGTACATATTGATAAAGTGCAGAACCACTGGGTACAGTTTGTTTAGAAAGCATAAATCAAGGGTGATTATGAATTTTAAATAATTATAAATATCTGCTATCTCTTTAGGAAATGAAATCAACGTTAAAAATGCAAAATGTAAAGAATAATGTTTTGAAGAACTCACTATAAGTAAAAGGGTGTGTATGAGATATGTGGTCCAGGTAAACCCTATGTTGGATGTAACCCTATGTATGTAAAAGGCTAGTAAAACCTGACATTTTTGGTCCCCACATGGAAAACAGCTTATACCTTTTTTTTATAAATGTAAAAATGCAGAAAGTTCTCTGTGAGGGTTATTTCTAGGGGATAGACTATACAGTCTGTATAGTATAAAACTCACTATATAAGTCCCAATAAAACATGAAAACCCAACAAGCGTGTGTGATGACAGACCTCGTGGGAAGTATGCAGGCAACATTGTTTCGTAGAGCTCTTTGTCAGACTTCAGAAACACACAGAAGATGACCCGGTCCAGCTGAGAGCAGATTAAAACAGAAAAAGAGACAAGAAATAAAAAATAAATGACCAGAGAGAATCTCACTTTCAAGTTATGATTTTGCTACTGCACAGCAGAAACCGACACAACTGAGACCATACCTGTATTAATATATCACAAACTTCATCCAAATGAAACAAATATGCTCCTTCATCCTTACTACACTCTCTTAAGTCATAGCAGAAATTTGCTTCAAGTCTTGTGAATAAAGTTAAAGGAAAGAAAATAATGTTTGTTTAAAAAAAGCTTCTAGACCTACATTAAGTTCATTTCTATCGAAGTGTTTGTTTGAGATATTATTTTCGGTGGCATGAATTGAACTTCAAATAATCCGTATAACTGAAGAAAAAGGTTCATTTGTCCAATTCACTGATTTTTGACTTGTAGCCTCTCAGTCTTATGTGAAGAGAGGGTCTGCTGAAAAGGAGCACTTTGGTGCAATCGCTTAGCATATTCTAATGTCTGAGTCTTTCTAGCCGGAGAGGCACAGTGCCAGTGACCTAACTGTCCTTGACAGAACACCAGCACCAGTCCCAAATGCTTCATGGCAAGCAACAACATAAAAAGAATACATCGAGATCCGTGCCAGCATCCTAGAACCTCCATCTCCATGACAACAGTGGTGAGGGCAGGTGGGCTGTTCCTGCTTCTAATCATGTTCCTGTAACACATCATTGCATCCAGCTAGCACTCCTACTCTGCCACTGAAATCTCTCTCACTCTCATTTTTCTCTCTTTGGTCTCTAGCATTGTCTTTTTTCATTGCCTTTAGCCAAATATCTCTCCCTCTCTGGCTCACTCATCCTGTGTCGCTTTGTCTGTCTGATTCAGATTCAAAATAATGCTTTACATTGCCAAAGCATTTGTAACATTATAAACATGCACATATGTAATGGACCACAGAAATTTTCCATTTGATTTTTACATGGTTTCTGGGTTAAAAGCATATGGCAAACTATTTACCACACACTATCAATAAGAAAATCATATAATATTTTTTGTTTGTTTATATGAACATACTATTTACAGAATGTAACACCAAATAATAGCAAATTCAATTTTATACGTTTTTAAAAAATGTTTCAAAAGCATAAAACATATTTTATGCAGTTTCATTTGATACTACGAAATGTTATTGTTAATAGTTGCTTTCTTTTCGAACCATTACCCATCAAATCCTCAATAAACACTGCAGGGGCCATGAAGGTTGCAAGGAGGTATACATTTAATTTAACTAAGCTAAGTGTTTACTAAAAAATGGCTCACTCACGTATCATCATCATCATTTCAAGTTCATTTTGATCCAGGCATGAGTGGCTTTGTCGAAGTGGGTGACTTGTTCACTCTGTAATTAATTAGTCAGTCCATTTTCACCAAGCCTGACGCATTCAGGTCGATTCGCAGATTGGCTGCGATCATGATAGTTGGGCGTTATCGAATTGACAGGGTAATCAGCCAATCACAGTGACGTGGAGGCACCACCTACTTTTATGTGATCTTTTGCTGTTATTTTTTTTATTACCCCTCACATTTGCTCTTAAAAAACATGGCCTTACAGGGCTGTACAGTGCGACATATATGAAAAAAATGGTCTGTGCGATGAATAAATTTACCACTGTAGCACGCGTGTGATACAGTTTTGCATGTTCATAACACAGCCGCTTAATAGTGTGAAGTGATTTCGTTGTGCTTGTTTGTGTGTGTGTGATTGATTATACTTGGTAGTTAGGGGTGTGCGATATGACGATTTTTGATCATGGACGATTAAAATGTCTCCATGATCTGCTGTTGAAGAAATAGCGTTGTATCGTGCTACAGCGCACATTCTATCAGCTGCAGACAGTTCTCCTCCCTCCGTCTCAATATAATGTACAACGCCACATGCATTCACATCAGTGTTAGCTCAGCGGTAGAGTTACTCTCACGGGACACTGCACTTATGCGCAATCACAAAACTACATTATTTCCATTTGCTTTAAAGGAATACCGGTTAAACATTTAATTCACGTGCTGTTCTGCATGCGCTTTTTATGAGCACGCACTCATGAAGCGCGCTCACACTGAGAGCCTGTCAAAAAGCGCCTGATTATTGGACCAAGTTGTCTTTCGCGTCTGATTGATTTAGCGTCTAATACTGTCAAAAACACTCAAGGTTTACATATAAACACAGTTGGTTATGTCTGAAATGAAAGTAAACAGTTGAGAGAGAAGATTTTTATCTTTGCTCACTTTGGCCTAAATGTCTGCCATTCTTTTTTATTTTATATTTTGCTAATGTGTAAGAGGTGTTATGTTTCTGCACTCTTCCATTTTTATCAAATTAAGAAAACTTTGTCTAAAAACAATTTTTTGTATTTTTTGTGCTCTGTATGGAATATCCGTGCCTGTTTAAGTGATGAACTCCATGTGTTTGTTTTCAGACATGATAACAGACGTTTTATACTTGTGCTACAACTTTTTGGCCTGTGCTACAAAACTTTCAACCTCTGTAGCACCAGTGCTATGTGAAAAAAAAGTTAACGTACAGCCCTGCCTTAGATGTATTTAGACATATTTTGTAACTTTTTTTTAAGTACTGTTGATTATTTTCTGCTGATGGTACACATTACGCAATTTTATAAATAATAAAAGTAGAATAAATAGAATGAATTAAAAATATAATAATAATATAAAGCTAATAAAACTATTCCAAAACTATAAAAGTGCTTTCTCTCTTCCATTCTGTACTATTCTCTGGGTGCATATGGAAAGTGGGAGGGTTAGCAAGCAGCAAAGCGCTGGTTAATTAGTGTGCCATAATTAGGGTGTCTCTGTCATTTTGTATGTCTGTAGCGTAAAAGACGGCAAGAGCAAATAAGCATGCCGCGCAGAGTGAGATGAAAGCTCAGGACAGGAGAGACAGATCAGTGAGAGATGAGAGAGGGGGAAAAAACACAGATGTGACCAGTGAAAATCGAGCGAGAGAGAGAGAGAGAGAGAGAGAGCGGCTGCAGTATGGGACATGCATAAGTTTTGGCAAAGACATCCTGATGGCTCATTTCCTGTTAAATTTACTCTAGACTCACATTAAGTTCCAAGGGCCAGAGATTGTGTCAATGCGTTTGTGGATTTTTTGTATTCGTGCTGTTCTGCGAAGCCAATACAAGCTCCGTTAGGAACCAATTAAAACTGCGAGGTTATATTTGTGTGTGTGTGTGTGTGTGTGTGCATGCTGACTCAGAAAAGAAAGTCCCTATGCAGCCACCATCTGTTTGCCACGACGTGTTCCTCATCGAACAATGACAACAATGGCAAGAAAAGAATACCAGTAGGGAAATGACACACACCTTCTCGTGATTTTGCTCCAGGTATTCTCTCACTGCTCTCAGGGCAACTTCGACTGCTTGATCAGGTGGATATCCTGCACCACACCACACATCATCCAACCCATGAACACAATACACATCAGATTTATACTAGGACTTTTAATCGATTAACATGTTTAAATTATGATTATTAAAAAAGACTAAAAAAGGGATAGTTCATCCAAAAATTAAAATTCTGTTATTAATTACTCACCCTCATGTCGTTCCAAAACCATAAGACCTTTGTTCATTTTCGGAACACAAATTAAGATATTTTTGATGAAATCCAAGAGTTTTCTGACCCTCCATAGACAGCAATGCAATGACACGTTCAAGACCCAGAAAGGTGGTAAGGAAATCGTTAAAATAGTCCCGTTAAAATAGTAAAATGTTAAAATAGCAAAATGTGATATCAGTGGTTCAATCTTAATTTTACGGTGCTACGAGAATACTTTTTGTATGCAAAGAAAACAAAAATAATGACTTTATTCAACAATTTCTTCTCTTCCACATGCAAGCATCGTGGTACTCTCGTAAACGCGCAGTGGAGACTGACACGGAAGAGAAGAAACTGTTGAATAAAGTCATTATTTTTGTTTCTTTGTGCACAAAAAGTATTCTCGTAGCTTCATAACATTACGGTTGAACCACTTATGTCACATGGACTATTTTAACAATGTCCTCACTACCTTTCTGGGCCTTGAAATTGTCAGTTGTGTTGTTGTCTATGGAGGGTCAGAAAGCTCTTGGATTTCATCAAAAATATCTTAATTTGTGTTCCAAAAATGAACAAAGGTCTTACAGGTTTGGAACAACATGAGGGTGAGTAATTAAGGACAGAATTTTCATTTTTGGGTGAAGTATCTCTTTAAATTATAATGCGCTGAATGACTAAATAAATCACCACAATCAATTGCACCCATATAAAGATAAATAAGACATTATTGAGGCAGATCAGAAAATGAATTTATTTTTATAATTAATCAAAAAATGATTAATTTGATGCATTAAAGTGTCATCCCCAACACAAAGTAAACGAAAACAGCCTTGATATTTTTTATAGATATACACATTACTTTGATTGTAATGATCTAATTTGTATGATTAACCAAGAGGCATCAACATGTTCACACCTTGTCAGCACTCACAATTCTGCCGATGCACGGCACCATATTTTCTGCTTGAGGACTTGAAAATGAATTACTGATGGTAGTTGTTTTCAAACTGAAGCTGTTTGCCGGGTTCATTTTTGAGTTTAATCTTGACACGTATAGCTAAGAAGGAGGATTATAATCACAGTGACATGCTCTCGCACCTAATCTCTCCTAATCTGACCGTCTAATCCCACCCTTAATCTGAAAATCCCTCATACTACTGCAAGTGATATCCACTCCCAGAATTTCTAAAATGAGGTTCCTGCTACATAAACCACCACAAATAAAAACACATGCATGAGCACAGAGGTCACATCATAGCTGAGGTTCCATTGATTAGGTTAGATAAGAGTGTCATAAACACTGGGGGTGAAGTACCATTGATGTTAGCCCACAAATGCGGTTAATGAATGATCATAGGTTTTAATAATAAATGAGCCCATTGAAAACACTTAATCAACCAACCTGTAATGAATTACACACAGTCATTTATAGACTATGAATACAAAGGACATATAAAAATAAATAATTGATGTAAGACAAAGCAATTAAAGATGAAAAGTAAACATTGATTGAGAAATAAAGCTGTAATTTGCACCTACCATACACTCCAGTAGAGATGCAGGGAAAAGCCTAGATATCAACATCAAAGAAACATAAAAAGAAATATAGACTTACAGTAATTGTTTTATCATCTGTGTATGAACCACTAAATGCTTCTTTAAATAAATGTGTTGTATTATAATAAAAGAAATTAAGGTTTACAAAGCACTTATTGTTGGACCTATTAGTACAAAACCACAACAAAACAACAGCTTTTACAAGGGAGGGTGAATGAAAATTGATTAATTACAACCCATTAAACATACAATCCATTACTAATGACAACGAGCCACTTGCGCCCTAGAATTAAGGGCCTTAAAAACAAAAGCTTTACTTAAAACAAATGGACCGAGTCACAGACAATTGTTGGTGTTTTAAAAGCATTTGCTGCTAAGGTACCACTTTGTGTCTTGCAAACCCCAGCACGTATGGATAGCACTTTGAAATCAATTAAGGGAATGAAATTTCTGTAATTTACTCTCCTTCATGTTCTTCCAAACCTTGAATGACTTACTTCTGAACACGAGATACATTGCTGAAAGTCCTTGCTGCCACTTTTCCATACAATGAAAGTGAATGAGGATGGGGGATGTTGAGCATAAAAATAACAAAAGACTGTTGCGTTCGCTTCATTCTGTTCCAAAGCTATCAGAGGACTTGTAATGATACGTTTAAGTTCATTTTGAGCTCAATTATCACCTGCCTCCTTGCACTTATATGGAAGAGCAGCCAGAACATTTACCACAACAACTTTTGTGTTTGATGGAAAATAATTATGCAGGTTTGAAATGACCAGTTTTGTTTTTGATAATTACAACTTCAGTAATTTAAATTAAGATGAAATAAATAAGAAATGAAATACAAGTATTAGAAAAATCAAACAAAAATCAAAAATAAGAAATAAGCTGAAGTACTAAAATTAATTCAACTATAACTAGAATAAAATGTAATAAAAAATATATAGCAATACAAAAACTGATAAAAGCACATACAATTATTAAAACTTAAAATAAAATTTAAATAAAAACTGATAATATCAAATAAAAGCTCATTCAAAATACTAATAAATACTATAAAAATATATAAATACTGCTAAAATATCACTGGAAATGAGTGAGTAAATTATGAGCATTTTTTAGATGAACTATTCCTAATAATAACACTTGGTTAAAGGTCTTTTTTCACAGTGAACACCAGTTACATAAAGATAAACAGGAAGTCCCCATAAGATATTATGATGCTGCAGCACTCCTTCCTGAGAACCTTAATGATAGATCTTAGCTGTGCCTGTGTATATTTTTATCCTTGCTGGTGCACTGTGTTAAAATCTTTTATACATGCAGTAACCTGTCTTCAGTAAATCAATCTCTGAAAGAAATAAAGCTGAAACGGCTCTCAACTGTTTTAGTAGATTCATATAAAAATTGTTAGGGCACCAGTGGAGTGCGAGTTATGCGCTGTGTTATGACTGGATTGCTGGCATTTTGATTCTCATACCCTGATGCAGCTGTGAGATGTGAGTGATACAGGGTGAGAGTTTAACATGTTAACTGTATACCTGAGTTTATGTGCAACCAGTGTGTAAGGTTCGAGATTGCGTTGGGCCAATAAAATTGCATACAAGTAGCTATATCCCAGCCAAGACATGAAGTCTGAATCTGTTATGAGTGTGTGAGATCCTCACCACTGTTCGCAGGTGATTCTTAGTTGCTGTGTGCAGACAGTTATAATAACAGTTTCTCAGTGCTTGTTCCTCTCTGTCCCCCACTGAATCATGGACTATCGGCCCCACGGTGTGAATAACATCTGTGAAACAGAGATAAAGCCAAAGACAGAGAGAAGTCATACAAAAATATCAGAAAAATATGTGATTGTGTTATATAACTCTAACTTCCTGTCTGTATGTCCTGTCAAGTGATTTTTAAAAAAGTGATTTTTTTTTCAGTTTATCTAAATTTTAAAGATTGCAATTTGAGCATATTCTGTATATAACAAAAAATAAACATAAACAAAAATGGATTATTTAGAATTTAGGTCTATTAAATGCTAAAACATGTTTTACAAATATGTTAAAGCACTATAAATTACCTATTTTAACCTCAATAGCAAAAAATGTTCCATTTAATAATGGTATCAGTATATCAACATCAGTAATATTGGCCTTGACAGATCTTGGCCTTTGTATTACAGTGCGACCTACTTACAGAAATAACAGATTGCTATTGGAAGGATCTTTTGGCTTGTTTCGTCTGATGATGTATGATAATATATGATGATATATTACGCCACAACATCGAAATATCTCATCGCAGTAATTGCTGTACTGATAGATGCTGTCAACACCTGAGGTGATGTTCAATCTTTCATCATAGTAAGCAACAGTTTCTGGCACAATTATTTAAAATAAATAATATTTATAAAAGAGTAAAATCATATGGAATCAGCTTCGAGCTGCATAATTGATTTCACAATCTTTTTACTGGCATGTTACCACTATTTACTGTAAGAACTGTAGTAATGCCAGATTCTAAGAACTGTTGGCAGATTCTATGGTTTCCATGGTACAAATTAATAAGAGCAATAGGAAACAGCTCAAGAGCATCAAATTTCCTATTCTAGTTCAAAAAGGAAGTTATCAATTTTATGCAAGACATTTTGCTTTTAAATCTAAAATGTAAAAGTGTTTAATTGAAAATCAGTTTTCTAAGTCTGTCAAAGAATATGATTATTTAAATCATTATAACAAATGTCTGTACTGCAATTGTTTCACACATAAAAGCTACCAAATGAATACAGTAAAAAGCTTTTGTAAGGCCTTCAGTAAAAGAAAGCTGATGTGTCACACAAACTTATTTATGCATTGTGTCTAGACTTTTGATTAGCTCTCCTCTTATGCACTTATAACTAACTGCACTTTCTGTTTGTTGTTCCCATCTCTGCCATCTGTCTGTTTCTCAGTTACTAAAGCCCCACTTGTCTCAGTCCTGCACCCTCTCATCTCAATTTCCTGTTTCCTCCTCCCATTGACACTCAGCTCAACCGCAGGCGTCGTGTCCGTTTCCCTTGTCCTTCTTTTCCGTCTACCTTCTGTCTAAAACATCCATCCATCTGTCCTCTCAATGTCTCGTGTCCTTGCGTGTCACATCTGTGGCATGTCCTCAATCTCTCCCCTTTGCTCCGCTTGTCCTTTGGATGTCCAGCAGCCCACTGTCAGTTACACTCCCACTCCTCTTTCCCTCATCCATCCACCCCCCGCATCCCTCCCCGACACCTCTCTGCGTTGCGTGCTGTCCGGCTGTGTTTATTTACCGCTGCACTCTGCAGTGTTTACAGCATCGATCCACCTCTGTTTGTTTAGTCCAGCCGCACCATCATACATCAAGTCGGGCAGAGACATTACTCACACAGAAACACACACACACACAAACATAAACACACCAAGGCTTGCAGACACTCGCATATGAAGTGCAAAAGGAAACAATGGACAGGAAATAAAAAACAACAGAGAACAGTGGGTATATGTTTGACTGGAAGTACAGTGTCACAAAGCGTTGTCATGTTTGTGGCACAGCGTGATCTGCTAAAGTGGGTGCAGAAGGAAGAGAGGAAGAGAGACAGGATGACATAATCACCGCAGACACAGGTGCAGCTGGAGGTTAAAGCAAACTACAAAAAACTGCCGGGAGGTTCAGATATGGCACTGCTCAACTCTCCCACTGTCGCTCCTGTATGCTCTCTAAAACAAACACACACAAGCACACTTACAACAGAGCGTGTGTGGGGAAGAAATGAACATTTTCTACAGAGTTCAGAGTTAGAATGTTGCATAATGTAGATTCAGAACCTTGTATGTAAACAATAATTTCTGAAACGCATCATTTAAGCTGTAAATTGGTGAGTTACCTTTCGTACTTGTTGTAAAGTCTATTTAAATAATAATACATACAAGAAGTACAGTGTGTGTGTACTTATGCATGTCAGGGTTTCAACACAAAATTAAAAATAAAGAAATGACATATTTATACATCTATATTTATATTTTTTATTTAAAGGGATAGGTCACCCAAAAATGAAAATTCTGTCATTAAAGGGGTCCTATTATGCTTTTTCACTTTTTGAATTTTAGTCAGTGTGAAGCGTGTATGTTTGGGCATAAAAAAGATCTTCAAACTTACAAATCTCAAAGTCCACTCCAAAGGTTCTAAATCCCTTTTCAAGAACTACAACGAACGGCTCGTTTGGACTACAGCGTTTGTTTTCCGGGTTTTGTGATATCACAAAGCGGCCCATTAGAATATCATTAAAATAATTCCCGCCTACGGAAATTCGAATGGTTGGGGGGTGGGGAGGGGCGAGGTCGTGGTTAGAAAGCTTGGTTGAGTGCATCAGACAAGACGACGACGAAGAAGAAGTGCTGCTGTAGCCTCAAGTTTTCGCAAGTTATTACACATGCACCTGAATAATTATGTATGTAAATATGTATGTTACAATTATGAAAAGTTTTTATAATAAATTGCTGACAGTACAATACTGGACAATTATATAATCTGCAGAATTTACACTTCAATTATGAGACTACAGTGTTTCCCATACATTGAGTGCGGGTGTTTTTATATCACTGTATTTCTGAAGGAAACCGGCAACCTTATAACAGATAACCTGCTTAATAATTATGCACACCTGAATATAAGGCATTTTTCACTTCCAGCCTTCATGAACAATAATATATAGATTATAAGTGATTAAATACAAGATTAATTATAGTAGTTACCGTATTAAGATTGATGTTGTTTGGAATTGGTAAAAATGTGCTTGGAAAAAAATATAATCAGAATATCAACTTGCATAATAATTATGCATGCACTGTATTTTTCCTCTTCTGCTGTTGTGGTAATGCAAGAAATGTTGTGAATGGTTGTCAAGGCAGTCAATCAGAATTTAGCAGCCTCATCTCTGATTGGCTGGAATTATGGCATATTGTAACGCTAGGTTGTGTTGAGCAAGCGATCCGTTGGCATTTAGAGAGCACTGAGGGCGGGCATCA